GAAGAATGAGTGAAATGCACCAACCGAAGAGGAGAACGAGTCGCAGCAGCTGAGGAGAAAGAGGAGGACCTGCCTGCTCGGACGGGCTGAAGTGACAGCCTAAGAATAGCCTCAGACAGTGGTGTGGCATTGTGGGGGGGCGGTGGGGTGAGGCGGGGTGAGGCAGGGCAGGGGGGTCTGCAGGGAAAGGAGGGGGGGTGGACTTATATGGCGTGAAAGGGGACACCCGGTATGCCAGGCTCGCCGTGATTCACCGCGGCTAATATAGACCTGCAGATTCTTCTAGACCCTCCTCACTGCCCCCCTCCATCATGCAGCGCCCAGGGTCTCCCACGCACCCACTCAGGGGCAGCGTCAGGAAACGTCTCATTATCTCGGTGGCGATAAAGCCCAAACAGAAAGGCCACGAGTGGAGTGGCGCTGATAGCTTAAAGGTCAGCCGGTTCAAATCGCTCCACGGGTCGCTGCCGAAGGCGTCAGCGAGGCCCGAGCCCGACTTCACCCGTCAGGAACGCTGTGAGCCCCGTGGACCCAGAAGAAACGTGTCCACCTGTCAGGACTGTCCTCAGGTTTACCCCAGCCTAAAGGACTCCAACACCTACAGAAAACTACAAACATGACCGCCACAGAGAGCCAGTGCAGCCAAAAACAGAGCCGATAACCTCAAAGAACGCAAAATAATCAGAGATAAAACCTCTAATTTATCTTTACGAAGATTCAAAAGTAAACGATTAATGTCCGACAGAGAGAAGCACGATGACCACAACAGGACTCAGCTGCCACAAATAGACCTCGAGAGGACGACAGCTCAGAGAGACGCAAGACACAGAATGATAACGAAGAGACAAAAAAGACTCAAATTAGGTGGAAAATGACAAAACGGGACAAAAACCGCTACAAAGACACACAAACAGACCCCCAAAAGACAAAAAACCACAAATATTAGCACAAAAACTAGAGAGAGGCAAGAAAGAGCCAAAAACTGCAGAAACAATTACGGAGACGAGCAAACACACACGAGGGAACCTGACAGGAAACAATGAGAAGCCCAACAGTTAAAGGCGAAACATGAAGCCCACGAGAGCACACGGGTTAGATGTTATCGGGGTAACACCACCTTCTGCCTGATGGTGGGCGGGGTGGTGTCTGTGTGCACACTGGGAACCAGAAATGCTGTTTGTAGGTGTAATTTGGGAGGCAGAGTCACACCTACAAATCTCACATGTTTTTAATTCAGGTGCTCTATGTGTTGTATGTGGTCTTCATTAAATATGATAAAGTCTGTGACCTTTCCAAACACCTGAGGAGGCTGCAGGACTACAGCCCAGGTACCCCGAGCACACCTGTGGACGCCCCGAGC